TGTTGACCAGGATGGTCTCGATCTCTTGACCTCGTGATCCACCCGCCTCGGCCTCCCAAAGTGCTGGGATTACAGGCTTGAGCCACCGCGCCCAGCTATAGTTTTTTTTAAAGGCATCTAGAAAGGGTCAACGTGACACCTATATTCTGGAGAAGAAGAGAAGGAATTACTCAACGAATACCATGTAGATAAAATGCAAGGGTTTCTTATGACTGACATTGAAGATACTTGAAGGTCTGGGGCCAGAATACGGTTAGTTTGGGTTAAATATATTTTAGATCAAAAATCAAAAGTCGACCTCTCTAGTTCTGAGGGAGTGTTTAAGGTATTTCAGACCAGCTATCCAATGAAACCACCCTGTCCTTGAGGTCTGTCACCCAGGAGAAGCAGGACCTCCTGGTACACTTCTTAGTACTTCCTGTGTTAGTCCATTTCACATTGCTACAAAGGAATACTTGAGGCTGGGTAATTTATGATGAAAAAAGGTTTATCTGGCTCATGGTTCTGCAGGTTGTACGAGAAGTATAGTGCTAGCATCTGCTTCTGATGAGGGAAGCTTCCACACATGGTGAAACGTGAAGGTGGAGCAGGTGCATCACATGGCAAGAGAGGGAGCAAGAGAGATTCCAGGCTCTTTCAAACAACTAGCTTATGCTCGAGGGAACTAGGAGATCGAGAACTCACTCATTAATGTTAGGGGGGGCACCAGGCCACTCATGAGAGATCTACCTCCATGACCCAGACAGCTTCCACCAGGCCCCACCTCCAACAGTGAGGATCACATTTCAACATGAGATCTGGAAAGGACAAACATCCAAACCAAATCACTTCCTATGGATTTACTATTTCAAAATTTAAACATTTGTAAAGGGTCTATCACCCATTTTTTTTTCTTTTCCAAGTCAAACGTCACTAAACTTCAAGCACTGAGATTAGAATCTTGCAATAACTTAACAAGTTAGGGATGGCCCAAATGAGATAATCTTGCATTAATAAAACCAATCTTTCTTTTTTTCAGGTAACCAGCTATCTGGGAAGTCTGCATTTAACACACCAAAAGGCCACTTTTCTACCCTGGAATGCTCCTCCTGGCCCCTGGCCTCTCCCATTACTCTCTGCTCCTTGCCTTCCTCCCCAAGACTCCTTCCCCTGATAAATTCCTTCAGAGCTTGCACCAAATGTCACCTCTAAGAAGGCTTTCCTTGGACCCCCACACCTGCTCTTCTGTATTTCCTAGGCAATGTCTACTTATCCTTTTTAGCATTTAGCATTTCAATTCAACAAAATATAAGCTCGATGAGAGCAGAACCATGTCTTGTTCACTAAGGTCTAGCCTTTTCTCCATGGACTGGTATAAGAAAGGTGATGAGGCCGGGCCTGGTGGCTCATGCCTGTAATGCCAGCACTTTGGGAGGCTGAGGCATGTGGATCCCCTGAGGTCAGGAGATCAAGATCATCCTGCTCAACATGGTGAAACGCCATCTCTACTAAAAATACAAAAATTAGCTGGACATGGTAGCATGTGCCTGTAATTCTAGCTACTTGGGAGGCTGAGGCAGGAGAATCTCTTGAACCAGGGAGTCAGAGGTTGCAGTGAGCCAAGATCGTGCCACTGTACTCCAGCCTGGGTGACAGAGCAAGACTGTCTCAAAAAAAGAAAAGAAAGGTGGTAAGTATCCATTGAATGAAAAAACTACACTAAATCAAACATATAAGGAAAACCCCTTAAGGTTGGCTAACCAATAAGTTAAATAGTTTCACAAGTATTTTTCATGAATGTGATGAATTACACTAGTATTTTGATGAGTTGTGTATATTATCTACTATTATTTATAAGGCATGAAGGATAAAAGTATAAAAGACTTGGACCCTGGCCTGGGGGACTTAATAGTCCAACAGGGAAAACAGAGTAACATGATGTAAGTGTGAAGGAAAAGGCTTGAAGATGGAGGGCTGTTTCCACGAACAGTTGGACTTGCTGTCTCAGGCCCAGCATGACTCAGCCTCCTCTTCCTCCTCATCTTCCTTGACCTCTATGTTTCAGCCACCCTGGTTTTCTTTCAGTTCCACAAAAGTACCATGCTCATCCTACCCAGGCATTTGAACAGACAGCTCCATTACACTCAATCTAGCTAACTCCCACTCAACCTTTAGGGGTTTGTTTCCTCAAAAGTCTTCCCAGCCCACCCCTCATCTAGGTCAGGCCTACCTGTTATATATTCTCATGGCAACTGAGCGCCTGCTTCCTGAATGTATTACAATGGTAAGTATTTGTGAAATTATTTGTTAATGACCAGCCCGCACTAGACTTTAAGCTCCACATAAGGCAGAGGAAACTATGCCGGTCTGGTTCCCTTGTCCCTAGAATATAATAGGTCTTAAATACATTACCTGACAAACAAGTAAGCAATAGAATAACTAAACAAATAAACAGGGGGAAGGGAAAATTGTATTGGGTTACTGACAATGACTAGGATTTGGGTAAACAAAAATTTCAGGTATATAATAAGTGACAGAGCTCAGATTCAAAGCCAGGTCTGTCTGAAGGGAGGGTCCTGAAGGGAGTTTATAATACTTCCAATGATAGGTTGGATTTGTTTTTTTTTTTTAGAGCTAGGGTCTCACTAGGTTGCCCAGGCTGGTTTCCAACTTCTGGCTTTAAGCAATTTCCTCCCACTTCAGCCTCCCAAAGCACTGGGATTATAAACTTGAGCCACTGTGCACAGCCTAGAGTGGATTATTCTTCCCAACTAGGCACCTCCTCCCTCTAGTAATGTTATATATCCTCAGTCTTTGCAACATGACCTTTGCAAGATCTCCTACTAGGAGAAATACATCGACTAATGTCATTGACTTTGGCCTTGGTCCTGTGACTTGCTTTGGTAATAAAAATGGAAGACATCACACTGTACTGTTGTTGAGCTGAGACTTTAAGGCATAATAATCACCAACCTTTTTAAGCTTATCCTTTCTACCACAGGAAGAGTAGGACCCAAATGACTGTTCCTCCTCTAGCCTAGATTTTGAAAATAATACATACAATGGTCTGGAACCTGACTCAAAGCTATGTGGCTTATTCAATAAGTTCAGCCTCGTGACACAGCTGAGCCACAGCCAACCTGCACAGCCACGAATGTGAAATAAATGTTTGCAATTGTAAGCCACTGAGATTTTGGGATTACGTGATATGAAATATTGTCACAGCAGAAACCTAACTAATATGCATGCCTACTCAATGACAGGGTTCCAACTTATTCTTTTTTTCTTTATTTTTGAGATGGAGTTTCACTTTTGTTGACCAGGCAGGAGTGCAATGGTGTGATCTCGGCTCACTGCAACCTCCGCCCCCCTGGTACAAGCGATTCTCCTACCTCAGCCTCCTGAGTAGCTGGGATTACAGGCGCCTGCCATGACACCCAGCTAACTTTTTGTATTTTTAGTAGAGATGGGGTTTCACCATGTTGGCCAGGCTGGTCTTGAATTCCAGACCTCAGGTGATCCACCCACCTCAGCCTCCCAAAGTGCTGGGATTACAGGTAAGAGCCACTGCACTTGGCCAGCTTATTTCTTTCAGTATCTAGCACATAGCTGGCTACATAGTGGGTGGTCAATCAATACTGTTAAACCCAATAAATGGTGTTCCTCAGGGATTCTGGTGAAATGAACAAAACATTAGCAGCGCTTCCAAAGCAAAGATTTTTAAAACGGATAAATCTAATACAAAGTGACTAAAGGGAGAAGCCTTGAGAAAATGGGCATTTTTATTTTTTGGTTAGGACTGAGAACCTCTTCTGGCACTTTAAGTATAAGCAGATGCTTTGCAGACACCTAATTTAACTCCTGTCAGATAAACTGATTAAGTATTCAAGAGGCAGAATATCATTTGCTGGTTGGCCTTAAAAAAAGAAAATGTCAAGATTTTAAATCGAAGAAGTTGCATGACTTTTCTCTTGTTATCTGGTATTTCTAATGACATAACTCAAAAACCAGAGGCAGCTAAAGCAAAAAGCTAAACTTTCAGCCCAATCTTTCTTCTGCATGAAGACTTGCATTCCATTTAATTTCATAAACCTGTACTAAGTAACTACCAAGTATTCTGGTGATGGAGGAAAAACAATATCTTAGATCTGAGCCACTGTAAATCTCTTTGGAACCAGGCAGGGTATAAAAATATATATGCTCCTAAGTTCAACTTAAACTCATAATGTTTTGTAACCTACAAAACATTTCTTCATACATTCCTCATTTCGTTTTCACAAGAATATGTGAGAGAGATTATTAATTATTATTATTATTATTTTTGAGACAAATTCTCACTCTGTTGACCAGGCTGGAGAGCAGTGATGTAGTCTTGGCTCACTGCAACCTCTGCCTCCTGGGTTCAGGTGATTCTCCTGCCTCAGCCTCCCAAGTAGCTGGAACTACAGGTGTGTACTACCACACCAGCTAATTTTTGTATTTTTAAAGTAAAGACAGGGTTTCACCATATTGGCCAGGCTGGTCTTGAACTCCTGACCTCGTGATCCGCCCACCTTGGCCTCTCAAAGTGCTGGGATTACAGATGTGAGCCACCAAGTCTGGTTTTATTATTTTTATTTTTTAGACAGGGTTTTGCGTTGTCTCCCAGGCTTGGGTGCAATGGCATGATCACAGCTCACTGCAGCTTTGACCTCCTAGGCTGAAGCAATCCTTTTGTTTCAGCCATCAGCGTAGATGGGACTACAGGTACAAACCACCACCATACCTGGCTGGTTTTATTTTAAAGAGATGGGGGTCTCACTATGTTGCCCAGGCTGGTCTTGAACTCCTGGGCTCAAGTAAGCCTCCTGCCTTACCCTTCCAAAGTGCTGGGACTGCAGGAATGACCCATCATGCCTCGCCTGGTTATGTTTTTTTATCCTTCTCTGAGATGAGGAAACAGAGGCTTAGCCACATGGCAAGTGCCTAGTGGAAAGTGACAGATGTCTGACTCTCTTTCTTCAATGCCATAGGGCCTCATTTCTCAAGACTTAAACATTTATAGATATAACAGAAAACCTCTGCAAAAGAATCAACATACCACTCCAGGGAATATTTTCTGGAGCCGGTCCGCTGCAGCCAGAGCCTTGGGCTTACCACCCGCTAGGCAATCTTCAAACTCATAGAGAGGCTGCCTCACAGGATTGGAGTAGGAGATCTTGGCATTGTCCACAAATGTGATGTGTCTCACGCCCCAACCCTGTGTGGAAACAGGAGATCATGGTGTGTTTCTGATGAACATTTCACAGGGTGATGTCTCTTGAAATCTCAAAAGGAGTCTTGCTTTGGAGGAGCTTGGGAACCTCAAAACAGAAGAAACTTCAGAAACTGAATTGTGCAAATTCAGTTTATGATAAACAGAATGTTGACTTTCCTTAAAAAAACAACATAATTATATACTCAGTGCCTGGTTTCCTGCAGTAATGAGATTAAAAAATGTTAAAGTGGCACTAATAATTCATTATTTTTGACAGTGTCACCAAAGATTTGGAGGTGAATCCCAAAAGAATTGTCTATGTTGTTGTTTTAAAAAGATTAGCAATAGCCCCTAAATGTCTTTGATTTCCCTTAAAGAATAATTAAGTGTAAATAACAACTATTCTTGAAACTCATTTAAAGCCTGAATGAACTCCTAAGAAAAAATGACTCACAAGTTGTTTCCTACTGTATGATATTTTAGAACATTTTGTACCATTTATTCAAGAGGCAGAGCCTTATTAATAATCTGGAATTTAGCGAACAAGTCTATATTCTTAGAAATCGTTTTCATGGTTTTATAGGCTTCAGTGATGTCTCCTATAACAGTTTTATAGAACCATACAATTTTAAAGGTGGTTGGGATCTCTAAAATCCTTAATCCAATTACTTTGTTTTACAGATGTGGAAACTGATGCCCGGGAGAGTTAAGTGATTTGCCTAAGGCGTACATCTGGTTAATGGTGGGAATGAATGAGCTCTCCAAAGTTGCAACTAAATGAAGTTGCCTACTTCTTGGGGTAGGGTACGGTGGGTATATTGTAGTATATCATAAATAAGCATTAGTGACCTAAGAGATGTCCTGCCATGACTGGCTACAAGGCTAAGATTTGGCTCTTATTTCAGTATCTTTCCGTTAGAAACTGAGAGACTCAGTTAGACTGAAGGTTTCAGAGGTTCAGCCAACAAGGACCCACGATTCATTTTCAGGGTTGAGAACAGAACAGAATCCGCCATTTATAAGCATAGATTAGACTGGCTGTTTTGAAGCCCACTGTTAACCTTTGGTCTACCACCCAGTTTTGTAAGTTATTTTCATCATCTAAGCAACCTACCATGGAGGGAGAATAAAGCCACTTGTGCTTGCTTTGAGGATGTTTATTTCTGAAGTATTTTTGTATTCCTTAAAGCAACTGATGAATGGATAGCAAGGAAGGCAAATTGGGAACGTGCTGGGTAGTAGGAAGGAAGCCAGATACATTACAAACATGCCATAGGTTAGTCACATGCAGGTGTATTTGCACACTTAACTTTTGGTTTCCTGGAATGCTACACAGTTTAAATGGCTAATCTGCAAAGATTAAAGAAAATTACAATACTCAATGCTGGTGAAGATGTGGTAGGGAGAAAACCATCTTACTGACTGAGAATGTTAAAGTGGTCTAATCTTTCTGGAAATCAATTTGGCAATATGTTTCTTGAATCTTAAGAATACCCATTATCCTATGACCTATTTCCAGCAATTTATCCTAAGAAATAATCTGACACACTGACCAAGATGCAGTCACAAAGATGCTTTGCAGCACAATTTACAATTGCAAAAAACTGGAAACAACGTTAAATCTAAAGAGAAGGATACAGTAAGTTATGTTTCATCATATAAGAAGGCATATTCTATAGTCATAAAGCTTTAGCAGGCATGGCAGTGAACTTGTGCAGTCCCAACTACTCGGGAGGCCAAGGTGGGAAGATCACAAGGTCCAGTCCAGCCTAGGCAACAAAAGCGCAAAAATAAAAAGAAAGCTTTGTAGATAGACATCATTTTTAATGACATGCTAATTGGTAACAGCAAAGGACATTATTATACATCTAATAAAATGTTAAAATACATATTAAACATTGGAAAGTGACAAGTCTGCTTTATGACTATTTATTTATTTATTTATTTATTTATTGAGATGGAGTTTCGCTCTTGTTACCAGGCTGGAGTGCAATGGCGCGATCTCGGCTCACTGCAACCTCCGCCAACTGGGTTCAGGCAATTCTCCTGCCTCAGCCTCCTGAGTAGCTGGGACTACAGGCACGTGCCACCATGCCCAGCTAATTTTTTGTAGTTTTAGTAGAGACGGGGTTTCACCATGTTGACCAGGATGGTCTCGATCTCTTGACCTCGTGATCCACCCGCCTCGGCCTCCCAAAGTGCTGGGATTACAGGCTTGAGCCACCGCGCCCAGCCATGACTTTTATACTTTACAAATTTTCTATAATGGCTTTATATTGACTTTGCAATTTTGAAAAGTGATAGGAAAATCTAAGCATCTAATAATTCTAGAACCTAGAAAAATACAGTAAAATAAATTTCACAAAAGGAGGGAAAACTAAAGATAAAAGTAGATATTTATGAATCTGAAAGCAAAATGAGACAGAAAACAAAAATTATAGAACTAATAAATATAGTATTTAGTGCTCCAAAAAGACTGGTAAAATAGACAAGCCTCTCTAGCAAGGCTATGAGAAAAAAAGAAAAACCACAAATATACAACATTAGGAATATGGAAAGATTTTTAAAAAGAAAATTTAAAAATAAGAGAGTACCATACATATTTTATGTCAATCAATTAATTAATTTTTGTTGGTTTTTTTTTTTTTTTTTTGAGATGGACTCTCTTTCTGTAGGCCAGGCTGGAGTGCAGTGGCGTGATCTCGGCTCACTGCAACCTCCGCCTCCCGGGTCCTGGTTCAAGCAATTCTCCTACCTCAGCCTTCCAAGTAGCTGGGATTACAGGCACAAGCCACCATACTCAGCTAATTTTTGTATTTTTTAGTAGAGACAGGGTTTCACCATGTTGGCCAGTCTGTTCTTGAACTAATGACTTTGTGATCTGCCCACATCAGCCTCCTAAAGTGCTGGGATTACAGGCGTGAGCCACCGTGTCCAGCTATACGTCAATTAATTTTTAAAGCTAGACAAATGAATTATTTTCTAGGAAAACAAATGAACTGAAAACCAGTACTGTAAATAATCTAAAAAGGGGAGTCAACACAGAAACATCTGTAAAAGTTTACAAAGATTCCCACCACCCCACTGCCCCAATCAACACAATTCTAAAACGCATCAGGCCCAGATGGATTTATAACTGAATTTTACCTAACCATCAAGGAACAGATAATTCATTTATTTAAACTGTTCTGGAGCTCAGAAAAAAGCAGAATGTTTTAAGTTTATATTATAAAGATAGCATAATGTTAGGTATAAAATACACAAAGATAAAAGAAGGAATAACATGACTATAAACCAATTTGACTTATGAATTGAGGTGTAAAATTTCACTGATTAATTGATTGGTTGACTGAGACAGGGTCTTGCTCTGTCACCCAGACTGGAGTGCAGTGGCATGATCTTGGCTCAGTGCAGCCTCAACCTCCTGGTCTGACGCAATGCTCCCACCTCAGCCTCCTGAGTAGCTGCAACTTCAGGTACATGCCACCACAGCCAGGCTAATTTGTGTGTGTGTGTGTGTGTGTGTATGTGTATGATATACATACATATACATACATATATATGTATGTATGTATTTTTTTTTTTTTTTAAAGAGATGGGGTTTTGACATGTTGTCCAGGCTGGTCTTGAACTCCTGAGCCCAAACGATCCGCCTACCTTAGCCTCCCAAACTGCTGGGATTGCAGGCATCAGCCACCATAGCCCAGTAAGATATAAAGTTTAAAAACAAAACATTATTAATTGAATTCAACAGTATCTGAGAAGAGTAAGATACCATGTATAAACAGGGTTTATTCTAGGAATGCTCAACATTAAAATACTTTGTCTTGACAGATGTAGTTGATAAAGCTCAACATTTCTGATGTAAACATGCAGAAACAGAAATCAACTTTAAATTATAAAGAATACTTACCAGAAACCAATATTAAAATTAAAAGTAAAAACAAGAGGCACTCTCATTAAAGTCAGCAACAAAACAAAGATGTCAACTCTCACTGCCATTCTTCTACATTACTGTAGAGTTCTAGCCAGTCTTATAAGACAAGGAAAAGAATCATGTAAGTGTTGGTGAGGGATACTAGCAATCTACAAATTCAAAAGAATAAAAAAATTCTTAGAACTAAGAGAGCTTAGACAGATGGCCAAAGATAAATATGCAAAATTCACTATTTTTCCTGCATCCCAGTAAAAGCCAACTGGAAAGTTTAATGGGAGAAACTATCTCTAAAGGAAAAAAAATCATTAAATATGTAGAAATAAGATATTTAAACTAAATTAGATATGTGCAAGCCCTATATAAAGAAAATGCTACTGAAAGACAACGATGATCTAATTAAATTAAGAGATACACCATGCTCCTAGGACTAAGGATTAATGTCATAAAAATACATCAATCCCTTCTAATTTATCTATAAATTCACTGTAATTTCAACTAAAACAGTGAGTATGAATATAAAAATAATAGATCAATGAGTCAAAATAGAGAATCCACAAAGAGACTCAGGTATATAAGGGGACTTAGCATTTGATAAAGACAGAAAAATGATGATTTCGATTACTGAATAAATGCCATTAAAGCAACTAACAATCTATTTTGTGTAAAAGTAGCTAGATCTTTACCCCTTATCATGTAACCAAAAAAATTTCCACATTCATCAAGTTCTAACATAAAAACAAGAGTTCCATAAGCCGCAAAGGAAAAGACTGACATATATAATAATATAAAGCTGAAAAAACTTTTCTTTTTTTTTTTTTTGAGACGAAGTTTCTTGAGTGCAATGGTGCAATCTCACTCAATGCAGCCTCCACCTCCCGGGTTCAAGCAACTCTCTAGCCCCCAGCCTCATCAGTAGCTAGGATTACAGGCACATGCCACCACGCCTGGCTAATTTTTTGTATTTTTAGTAGAAACGGTTTCACCAGGTTAGCCAGGCCAATCTCAAACTCCTGACCTCAGGTGATCTGCTCACCTCAGCAAACCAACAATTGGGATTACAGGTGTGTGCCACTGAGACTGGCTGAAAAACTTTTATATGGCTAAAGACATCTTAGATAAATTGAGAAAAACATTACAGAAAAAAGATTAATTGACCAATAAAAAGAACTCTAAATCAATAAAAGAAACACAACCCAGGCTGGGCATGGTGCTCATGCCTGTAATCTCAGCACTTTGGGAGGCCAAGGCAGGTGGATCACAAGTTCAGGAGTTCAAGACCAGCCTGACCAACATGGTGAAACTCCATCTCTATGAAATATACAAAAATTAGCCAAGCATGGTGACACACGACTGTAATCCCAGCTACTGAGGAGGCTGAGGCAGGAGAATCGCTTGAACCTGGGAGGTGGAGGTTGCAGTGAGGCCGAGATCATGCCACTGTACTCCAGCCTGGGCGACAGAGTGAGACTCCATCTTAAAAAAACAAAAACAAAAATAAAAAAACAAAAAAGAAACACAACCTGAAGAACATGAATAAAAAAAAAAAACCTCACAAAAAAAAATTAAACTCGCCCTTGCTAATTAAAGAAATGCAAATTAAAACAATAAATGTTACTTAGCTGATTAAGATTTCAAAAGTTGATATATCCAATTTTGGCAAGAGTATGGAAAAAAGTTCTGTGTCTCACATGTATAACATTTTTGGAAGGCAATTTAGTTTGAAAAAAATTTTTGACCGGGTGCAGTGGCTCACATCTGTAATCCCAGCATTTTGGGAGGCCAAGGCAGGCGGATCACCTGAGGTCAGGAGTTCAACAGCAGCCTCGACAACATGGTGAAACCCTGTCTCTACTAAAAATACAAATAATTAGCCAAGTGTACTGGTACATGCCTGTAATCACAGCTAATAAGGAAGTTACGGCAGTAGAATCCCTTAAACTCGGGAGGCGGAGGTTACAGTGAGTTGAGATCATGCCTCTATACTCCAGCCGAGGTGTCAGATTAAGACTTTGTCTCAAAAAAAATTAATGAAAAACATAAATATTTAAAATATTTATATTCAAATTCTATACTCTCTCTAACATAGCAATTCTATGTCTAGGGCTTCCCCCCCCCAAAAAAAAAAATCCTATGGATATGCAAACATACAAGTATAAGAATGTTTTCTAATAGAGAACAGTCTCTAATAGAAAAAAATACAAAGCAACCTGAAATTGATTCAATAAACTAAGAACATAGTCATAGAACAAAATAACACATATACATACTATGGAAACATAGAAAGGTAGCCACAGTCATTTTTTTATCTAGTTAAAAATCTGTTAAAGATCCTATATTATAATCTAATTTTTATAAATATAAATAATTATCAGCAAAGATAACAAAGATTTCTCTATATTTAGATATGCCTAAAATAGCATCTTGGAAAGACGCTGCATACTAATGTACAAAGTCTGCTTAATGGGAAACGGGACTTACGATGGGTGTGGAAGACTTCCGGTTTCTATCTGATGACAAAAGCTTGTATTTCTTTTACAATTAAAAAGATAACAAGAAAAGGAAAAAGGAAGGGAGAGGGAGAAGGAGGGGAGGGGGAGCGGGGAGAAGGAGGGGAGGGGGAGCGGGGAGAAGGAGGGGAGGGGGAGCGGGGAGATGGAAAGCAATCATGGAGAGTAAAACAAGAAGAGAAGCTGCAATTTCAAAGGTGCCATTTGCACTCCCCAACCCCGACTTACCATCAACGTCCTAGCTACATTGCAACCCAAGGTGCCAGCTCCAAGCAGCAGACATTTGACAGACACAACCTTGTCCAAGTCTAATGTAGGGACCAATCTCCAACACATCAGTTTGAGATTTAGATCCACTGATGACTCAGCTAATCTAGAAAAGGAGAGACTTATTCAGTTACTCATTTGTGCAATAATCTTGTCCTAAAAGATATCAAGTGGCTATGCAAGAAAATAAGAAATAAATAATAAGGAAATTGGGATAAAAGGAAAAAGAAGATGAGGCTGGAGGGTAAGCAGGGAGGAGAAAGGCTCCCACACAGCAGCATGCTGTTGGAGTCCTCTGCAATGAGGGGGTGAGGGGCACAAATTTGATACTGAGCTCCCAGCAGCAAAGGTGAAAAGGGAAGAGCATGACCAGTTAAAGGAATCACAGTGTCCATGAATAAAAACACACCACTTGATTAAAAGGAAAGTTTTTCCTAGTACTGAAAACAGAAATTTCTCCCCTATCTCCTTAATGAAGATTGCATTCAGGCCGGGCATGGTGGCTCACGCCTGTAATCCCCGCATTTTGGGAGGCCGAAGTGGGCAGATCACTTGAGTCAGGAGTTTGAGACCAGCCTAGCCAACATGGTGAAACCCTGTCTTTACTAAAAATACAAAAATTAGCTGGGTGTGGTGGCGGGCACCAGTAATTCCAGCTACTCAGGAGGCTGGGGCAGAAGAATTGCTTGAACCAGGGAGTCAGAGGTTGCAGTAAGCTGGGTGGCGGGCACCAGTAATTCCAGCTACTCAGGAGGCTGGGGCAGAAGAATTGCTTGAACCAGGGAGTCAGAGGTTGCAGTAAGCTGAGATCATGCCACTGCACTCTAGCCTGGACGACAAGAACAAAACTCCATCTCAAAAAAACAAAAAAAGAAAAAGAAAAGAAAAAAGAGTGCACTCAGATTCACCCTTAAATACAATACTGGTTTCCATGAAATATTTCTTCTAATATCCTTCAAGGTGGGCCAATAAGGGCAGGGCGTGGTATCTCACGCCTATAATTCCAGCACTTTTGGAGGCTGAAGCAGGCGGATCACGAGGTCAGGAGTTCAAGACCAGCCTGGACAACAAGGTGAAACCCTCTCTCTACTAAAAATACAAAAAATTAGCTGAGTATGGTGGCGTGTGCCTGTAATCCTAGTTACTCGGGAGGCTGAGGCAGGAGAATTGCTTGAACTCAGGAGGTGGAGGTTGCAGTGAGCAGAGATAGTGCCATTGCACTGCAGCCTGGGTGACAGGGCAAGACTCCATCGTTGTGGGGAAAAAAGGCCGGGTGTGGTAGCGCACACCTGTAATCCCAGCACTTTGGGAGGCCAAGGCGGGCAGGTCATAAGCTCAGGAGATCAAGACCATTCTGGCTACCATGGTGAAACCCTCTCTCTACTAAAAATGCAAAAAATTAGCCAGGTGTGGTGGTGCACACCTGTAGTCCCAGCTACTTGCGAGGCTGGGGCAGGAGAATCGCTTGAATCTGGCAGGCAGAAGTTGCAGTGAGCCGAGATCATGCCACTGTACTCCAGCCTGGGTAACAGAATGAGACTCCGTCTCAGAAGAAAAAAAAAAAAAAGTAGGCCAATAGGACCAAGCTAGAGGACAATCCATAAAGGATCGAAAGACAGTACAGGTACACTACACTGGTGGTCTGAGAGCATGAGCTTGAAATAAGAACAAAATTTAGAATATCTAGAACAGACAAACAGTGTGCCCTTCAGGATATCCATTGTCATTATTAATTCTCACAACCAAACCTCAATTAAAGAGCAGAATAACACATGGCAGCATGAATGGCACCCCTTGGGATGAATTCCACAATGCTGCATTGGCCTGACAGAACTTGGTGTGTGTCTTGGTTACAAAAAGCCCAAATGGAGAAAACAGCTTCCAAAATATACCTTTTAGGGTCCATACATTCACTGAGGTTCACCATCCTTGGTCCCATGCCTCCTTTCTGGTTCTTTTCCCATCCAACTGCTTTAGGACAATCTCAAAGCAAATAAAACACAAAGCTTAATGAAGGAGGGAAGAATAAAAACAAACAGATCAAACAGCAAGCTTGCATAAAAAAGACTGACATTTATAATGGCCCATGCATTGATACTTTGATTCTTTCTAAAAGGGACCTGAGGACCTGAATTTCCATGGACTTGCCACAGTTGCCTCCCCATCTTCCTCAGCTACTGGGAATGTTGTTTAGAGACCATCAGTCCCAAGCAATCTTCCTGCACAGGAGCTTCTGAAATAGCCCTCAACTCTGCCCCAAGGTGCCTCAACTTTCACTGTTACTAGAAGTTGAAAAAAAGAAAAAGACAATCTTATCTGGGGTAGGTATAACCCCACTGAGGCTTCTCTATCTAAGTAAGCCAAGCCAGTGTAACTGCAGCACACCTTCACTGAAGTTCCCATTGGGATGTGAACCTCTAAATTCAGTATGTCCCTTCTGTTGCTCATACTTATCATGCCCCTCTGCTCAGCCTTTCTGTCACTACATCTGTGTGCAGATGATAGTCTAAGGTGACTGTCCTTTAATTAAGCTGCCCTTTCCTTTAAGCTCATCTGTATCCATTCAGAACTTTCCCTTCTCTGACTTCTTCCTTCCCTGCTGCCCCCTTTTAATCCCTGCTATGGGAGCCTGTGTAATTCCAGTCAATTCCAATTCCAGCAGTTCCCAAAGTGTGTCCTATTCAATAATGTCAGAGGATAAGGATCCTGTGGCTAAACAGACTTGGGAAGTGCTTCTATACTTATATCTATCTTCTATATTGTAGCCCCCACTATCACTGAAACCTGGCCATTCACATTGCACATGAAGGAGATAAAAGCTCTGAGACTTGCTTGGTGGAACCACAGCCTTGTAAATCTTGTTAGTGGATCCACCCACTCTCTTGCGCTCCCTACATTTCAGGACCTCTGCTGCTCCCCCTTTCTCATTGAATTCCCACTGCTCACAATAAAGCCTGAACTCCTGAGCAAAGAATTCACCCCACCACAGCCTACACTTCCAGCATCATCTTTACCGTCTGCCTTAAGCAGCAGACTCTGCAAGAACAGAAACTCCTTGACTTGAAGTTAAGATGTACGGGACTAGAAGGGAAAATTTTCATTTTGTTTCTAATTGTACGCTGGTTTTCTTTGTCCATTCTCCTACTTTTGAATTTCTGTCAAGATCACAATTTTCCTTTCCTTGAGAAACTTTTCAGCTTTTGACATTAAAAAAGAATAGTATTGGCCGGGCGCGGTGGCTCAAGCCTGTAATCCCAGCACTTTGGGAGGCCGAGGCGGGTGGATCACGAGGTCAAGAGATCGAGACCATCCTGGTCAA